TGAATGATTGAGACCTGTTGGGTTCTTAGTGCTTTGCAGGTCAAACCACCTTTGCAGGTGCTGAAAAAAGGAGAATTAAGTTAGGAGCCTAAATCCTGGGTTTTGGGGAGCTTTGGGATATTTTTATTTCATTTTTTAAGTTTGTTTGTTTTGATATCATCTTAGCCTTTGTAGTCAGGGTAATAAAGTGTTCCACTCAGCAGTCACTTGAGGTGTGAATAGTCATTGATCTGTGTTCTGTTCATCACTGTGTTGATAGTAATAACCCAACCGGGTGTATTTCTAGACCATAATAATTAACTGAGTCTCCTGCCAAACAGGGCAGACACTCAAGGACTCTCCAAGATGCTTTTTTTTCTTGGAAGTATTTTTATGGAGACTAAGGGCTCATCAACATGAGTTGCTAAGGTGCATCAACTGATGTGAAGTCAATGCATGTACGTTAGAGCGCATGACAATAAGTTTCTGTGTAGCCACTCTAGTGGCAGTAGTTCCAATTAAGCTATGTCAAACTAAAACTGCTTTAAAACTGTTTTTTTGAATAAAAGCATCCACGCAGGGATGTATTGTGTGCTAAACTTAGGCACATTGACTTCACATCTATACTTTATTTGCCTTAGATTTCTGGGCATCCACTTTAGAGGAGCAGGGAAAGAAAGGAACATTGGCTTGCTTTCCTGATCCTCTCATGCACATTCACACATATACATACAGTCTGTTTTTTCAGATGTGAAGAATCATTTTTAACAGTAATGGGAAACAAAGAGGGAGGATGGGAAGGGGGAGAGAAGGTAGGGAGGGGAAGGTGTGTTTTATTTGTAATTGTTCTGCCTATAGGTTTTGTTAAAGTTTATTACCAACAATGAAATTTCCTGCTCTTATTTCTGATGATAAAGGAGCAAGCCCAGCACACTTAACAAACGGGACAAAACACATTCTTTCAGCTGTGAGGAGGGGGCTCATGACAGTGAAAAGGAGAATTTAAATTATTTGTGCAAAAAGAATAGTGTGAACCTTAGTGCTAAGATAAATTTAAGAAGGGGAATTACTCTTAACACATCCCTGCCAGAATCTCACTTTTGAGCCTGGTTTTGTATTATCTAAAATGAATGATGGGAATTCCAAAACATTGCTCAACCTCAGTTCACATGTATGCGTAAGTGAATGTAGTCTGTGATTTGGATCCTCTGGGAAATCCCTTTAAACAGGAATCCTGGTAGACAAGAAAATAAACCAAAGTGAACACAATTATCTAAACTGACATGAAAGATCCTAGACTGGTTAAAAAAAAAACAACCCAGAAATTTGAATCATTCAAAGAGCCTTGTCACTGTGCAGGAACGATCTGCATCTCAATTACAGCCTGAAGGTAATGATACTTACCAGACTGAGTGGGGGAGGAATCCACCCTGAGTACTTATCCCATGACAGTTCAGACTTCAGATTTGGTTTCTTGCCTAGAAACCTGCCCACATGTGTTTTCAAGCTGTGATTTTACTCTCAAATACATTTCAATGAAATGTTTTATTTATCTATTTGATTTACCTGCCCCCTACCCAAGAAAAAGCTCAGGGCATCTTACAATAAAAATGAGTTTTCTTGTAAAGCAGATAAAATTGTAAATAAAATACTGAATGATAAAACAGTTCCCCAAACAATACTCTGAAACATTGCTCCTGCTCTGGTGGTCTGACAAGATTTCTCTGCATTCTGCTTGTTCTGTTTCAGGTTGCTGGGCTTGAATCTGGCCCATGCTGAGGTTCAACCTTAGGAGTGTTCAGGAAGTTGTGTTTCTCCCAAGGCTTAGCTGACCTGAGTTCCCTCTCCCCTCTACTGGCATGTGAAACCCCTTCATTTCATTCCCCCACAACTCTTCTGGCCACCCTACTCTTTGACTAGTAGCTTATTATTCTTGCTTTTACTCTCCAGGTGTATTCAGCTCATGCCTTTACTCTCCAGGTGCATTCAGCTCATGCCTTTACTCTCCAGGTGCATTCAGGTCTCTTCAGATGTCTATGCTGTATATCACCTATAAAGATATAGTACCTAAAATATGCTGTATGGTAACGGGACAGTCCCATACAATGATGAATTTACATTTTGAAAGAAGAGACCAGTAAGATTAACACCTTAGAAGAGGCTATTCAGGGAAGGACATTTCTCACAGCGGGGAGATTAAGTGAGAGACAATATCCTGGGGATATGTCTGAAAGGATGTAAATATTCTCCTGGTTATACTGATCAGCAAATACTTCTTGTCTGGTAGCAGATGCACCCTTTGGGAACAGGAAGTTATGTGCCTAATTTAAGTTCCCCAGTAATCCAATGGATAATGTATGTAAATGGCCAGGTAAGAAATGAGTGTTAGTCTTTATTTTATTCTCAGGTATGAGGAAGACTTTGGGCCCTCAGCCAGTGGGCTGAGTGAAACCGGTTGATAGCAGGACTTGCAGGGAGTCCTAACAGGAAGGTCAGAGGCAGGGGCTGCTTTCTTACCTGTTGAGATGAGTAGAAGTTGCTTCCTTAAGTTTAAGATGTACGGTAAGATCAAATTGTTGTTCTGATCAGTAGGGAACTAGGGGTGGGCAAATACCAGGATAGCCATGCCAGAATCACCCCCACCCCCGCAGCATCTATGCCTCTGTAGCATACCAATGCTGGGAACTCCAGAACAGTCCCCAGCTGCTGCTGCTGCTTGAAGAGCAACAGCTGGGGTGGGCAGTGCGTGCAGTGCCAGAAGCAGCTCAACTGGGGACTGTTTAGGAGTTCCTGGCTTGGATAAAAGTACTGCTCTCCCCCTCCCCTGAGAGAGAAGACTCTCTGCTCTGCCCCCAGCTCTCAGAACCCTTGCACATCCCTTCCTGCCCTCCCTTGCTCTTGGGAACTCCCCCTCCCACACCCAGTTTGCCCCAAATGCCAACTCTGCTTGTCATGCCATTGGTTATGATATTCCCTTTTGTTTACTTATTCTTATATCTCTGTTTGTATTTCAGTAAATGGGTACTGATTTCTTGTATTTGCTTTTGTTTTGATAAGACATCTTTTTGTTATTTTGTATGAAGTATTAGTGCTAGTGTTAAGGTGATTCCAGAGCAATTGATCTTTTAGCTCCTCCAAGGAAGGGGGTGGATCTGTCATTTCCAAGATCATGACCGGACAAGAGTATAATTCTTCTAGCTGGCAAAATTCCCTCTGCTAAGAGCTGGCAAGACCTGAGTGAGGCAGGTAAAGCTGAAGTGCCATCAGTCAGGGAGGTGACCCTTGGAGCACCTCCAGTTTGTTCTGAGTGGTCAAGCAGCAGATGCCAGGGTGGGGTTTGGGGTTAAAAGGTACCGCTGAAGATATGAGAACACCCCAGGAGTGCATCTCAAAGGCTTATTTAATCAAATCTGGGGACAGGGTATGTTACGGGTAAAAATGCTTGAGCCATACTTTAGCCTAGAGCAGTGGTTCTCAAACTTTTTTTCGCAGACCACTTGAAATGAAAATTGCTGAGGGTCTCGGCGGACCACTTAATAAACTTTTTTTTGTTCTACAAATCAAAGCACACAACTTGTATTTTAATATCAGTCATCTTACCTTACAAGTACAGATATTCTTGATTGTTCTGCACCTTTCAGCAGACAACCTGCATGGACCAGTGGTGGTCCATGGACCACAGTTTGAGAACCTCTGGCCTACAGGCATAAAAAGCAGTTTCTGCACACTGAGCGGCAGTGGAGCCTGGGGCGGCAGCTACCATTCTTGCATCCCTCAAAACTGGTGCTTGTGATTTGTGCCTAGTTGCTTACCCCTACTTACATGGCTGCTTTTAAGCCAAGCCTTTTTTGTGGTAGGGACAGTAAGAGCCACTTCAGACATCTGTGGAGAAGGCAAGCAGCCCTTTCTCATATATGCTTAGAGTTCGTTGCCATCTGTGGTACTGTGATGGAAGCAATTTCTTCATGGAAGCAATTTCTCAACTTCCTACAGTTTAAATAGTCTGAATATTCAAGTTCTCCTTGTATTGACTATATGCTCACTTTTTATTTCCCAGTTATCAGCTCTGTAACTTTCTTTCCCAAAATTATTTCGAAAGTCAGATCTGTGAATTAAACATGTTTGTTGTGGTATTTGTTGAAATAGTCTTTTTTGCTAAAACAATTGACAAGCTGTATCTAATGGAGACCAGTGGCTGAAAGGATGTCACAGAACATTTTCACCATGGTGCCCAAGTCAGCAAATATGATGAGGATTGAACTGTGAGACCTTACAACAGTATTTTCTTGAAGGATATTTATCTGGCTGGAAAAGGGTTGTGCACGTGATCTTGCCTTACAGTAAGTGATTCATTATTCTGGTTGGGTATAAGGAGTGGGTCTCTAGGAGTGGAGTACATGACTGGCTCTCGAGCTGGCCATTTCTGAGACAGGTATCCTATAAGCAGCTAAGGCTTTTGAGTCCTGAGCTGAAGTTTGTTGTTGACCATTTATTTGTTAAGAAAGCCACCCTCAAGAAGTGGATGAGATTTTATTTTTTTTTTTAACGACACAGTATATGGATTCTGATTTGGAATTGGTTGGGAATGATATTTGTTCACATGATTTCAGAGAGTTCCTTTGCAAAAGTTTTTTCTGGTCTATGAAGCCTGTAAGTCTCAGACTTCTAAAAGATTTTCTTCGGGAAAAATATCTGTTCTACTTCTCATTCAAAGTGAACAACATTGCACAGCTCTCTGCTGAAGTAAAAGGCTATTTCAGGCTCTGGGTAAAGTAACCAGACTTTTCAGCAAAAGCAATGGTGAAAGAGGGATGAAAGCCCTGTCTTCATGCAGTTTTGCTTGTTGTAGTCTAGATTTCTTCTCCTTTTTCTAAATTCCTTCTGGTTTCAGTAACCACTTCGTAACCTTGAAATTCTGCAACTGTTTAGAAACAAATAAACTCTCTTGATTGACACACTGCTTCCTGTTAGTCTCCCTAGCACCTTATCAATAAAGCTAGGAAAATATTGGGGTTGGGAAGAGGAGGTCAAAGTGGTCAGGAGATGGGAGCTGCAATTTAAGGCCTGGTTTTAAAGTATGTTGCAGTCATCGGTTGTGTTGAGGAATAAAGATGCTTAAACAGACATGGTGAAATAGGAGTTAAGGGTAAGGAGTCGTTGTTTAACTGGATTGGTTTTATATAGTGGATTTGCAATATGAAAAAAAATTGAGTTAATAGGTGATCAAGTCATATAGAGGGTCTAGGTTCTCAAAGTCTAATCCTAATGTTTCACATCCTGACAGAAATGGTTAGAGCTGTTACAGAGGTTTCATGTGAAATTCTTGGGAATGAAGGAGAAGTATCATTCTGCTTTAATAAGGATTAACTCTGAATCAGAGTTAATCTTTAGTTCATAGTGTTCCTCAGCCAATATGGGTGGTGGTGGCTGTGTCCTGAGGGACAGGAGAGGGGCTAAATATTCAAGATTGTCAGTGAAATGTGGAAGAGCCATCTCAGGGAAAGAACACAAGATACCAACCTTCTGTAGAAAGAAAGCGTATGTACAGACACATCTAGAGGTGATATGTGTATATTTGCAATGTGCTGTGTAAATGAATGCAGTACCTAATGATTCGTGTTTATTATTTGAAGAGTCCCACTGTTACAGATTTATTTGTCATTTCTTGTAATAACACCAATGATAATGAATTCATTTGTATTAATGTGGGTGTCATGTGGACTTCCGTTGAAATTCTACATTAATTAATGTACCATTAAAATAAAGTGTCACCCAATTAATATTGAGAAGAAGTAATACTGCCAGTATCCTATCATTAGGATTTCATTTGTAATTCATTGTATTAACACCCTGTTTAATGAAAGTCATTTGCAATCCAGAGCGTCACCCTACAGACTTCCTTGGGAATGCCAGCTTTAAACATGAACTAATGGACTTATCCAAAAGGGTTATACAGATGAACTGATGACAGAATGTTGTTAAAAGTAATAGTTGTTACCATCTCACCTCGAGTGAATGCCAGAATGAATGGATTCGAATCCCAGTTCTAATCATATTCTCTCTCAGGAAATGTGGCCAAATTCCATTCAGGTGATTATAAAAAGCCAGTTCTTGTTCTTTTAAATGACCTTTATATCTGATTGTAGCATCTGTTTTTTGGGTACCTAGTCTTCAGCCATTCTGGCTGAATTGTGCAACAATTTTGGGATCTGTTCACACATTCACTACTGACTAGGATGACACCAAATTTTATTATTTTTCTTATGCCATAGCTGGGGGAACAGGGCCCCATTGTGCCAGGTATTTCACAAATGAGTAATAACAATAGATCTTGCCCCAGGTAATTAAAAATCTAGATAGCTGGCAAGCTGCAACAAGTGAATAAAATGGCATGGAGCCTGTGGGAGAATTAGGTGACAGTATGAACCGTCAACATTTACATCCTGGTCAGGGCTTAAATGCTAGTGCATTAACTTAGCCTGCTTAACTGTCTTTTCCTTTGCTCCATTTTCATTAATGTTAAGCAGCAATCTTTGTAAATAAAATCCAACATAGTAATTGGGGTGATCAGTGGGAACTGGAGGTGCCCAACACTTCTGAAAATGCTCGTAAAGAACTCTGAAGCTGTTGCATGGAGAAGTGCTCAGTTGCCTCTGAATCTGACACCTGGTGTGATTACACTGAGGATATTTAGTCAGACTGTCAGTGGCCATAGACTCATCAGCTATAAGGTAGGTTGTCTTTGAGGTCAGGGTACAAAGCAAGACCAGGCAATCTAAGCAAGGACAGGCAATCTAAAACCTTTCCCTAGCATTCTGTCTATAAAAGAGGGTTGGTTTGCACATGATTGCACAGATGAAATAATGTTGTGGTGACATTACTGGAAACCTACATCTGGAGGCAGAAACAAAAACATGGAAGTGAGCTTCCCTACCCCATTTTAACTGAGGGCTTTCTGGGACATTATCGCAATGAAATCTCAGAGATTCCTGAAGCTGAAAATCCACTGCCTTGCTCATACTAGGGAACAAGAAAAAGCAAATGAATTGACAATATGAGTCTCTGAGCTTTCTGATTGACAGGTTTTCACATTCCTAGCATTTGTTTATGATTTTGTTAGGCCATCCTGTGTTCCCATCATTCCTGTCTTAAATCAGGACTGACCTAATACCATCTCTGAACACTAAAACAGGCTGCCTTCTAGCCATGTCTTTCCCTTTGCCCCATTTCTCAGCGTGCTATACCTCAGAGAAGCTATAGCACCTCAAACATGTTAAAGATAAAGCTATTTTGGGATTCTCTGAATTAATGAATGTTCCTTTAATCGCTAGAGACTTCTAGTTTACTTAGACTAATAAAGTATAAAGCCAGAAGAGACTTCTCTGCTCATCTAATCTCACCTGTAACTATATTCATGTATAGCACAGGCTATTGGACGTACCTGGGTTAATACCTGTTTGAACTGGAGCTTATCATCTACAAAAACTTGCAATCTTGATTTTAAAATTATCAGTGTTGGAAAAGCTATTACAACCTTTGATAAATTGTTTCAGTTTTAATTGTCCTCACTACTAAGAATTGTTTCTTTTTTCTAGTATGAATTTGTCTGGCTTCCAGTGTTTTCCATTGAATTTTGTTGTAGGAGCTCATTGGTAGAATAATCTTCCCCTTGAAGGTAGTTACAGATTGTGATTGAGTTACTCCCTATAGCTTTCTCTCTAGTTGGTTTAGATTGAATTTTTGGCTTAGACTGAATTTTCAGCTTCTTTCTCAAGATGGCATGCTTTTCAGCCTTTCATTATTCTTGTGGCTCTCCTCACAGAATCATAGAAAATTAGGGTTGGAAGGGACCTCAGGAAGTCATCTAGTCTAACCCGCTGCTCAGAGCACGAGCATCCCCAACTAGATCATCCCAGCCAACAATTTGTCTAGCCGGGTTTTAAAAACCTCCAAGGATGGAGATTCCACAACCTCTCTGGGTAACCTGTTTCAGTGGTATGCTCAGTAGCCTCCTTTAACTGTGCATACCAGAATTGGGCAAACCGTTCCTGCAGCGATCAGGCCACTGCCAAAAACATAGAGGTACTGTAACCTCCCTATTCTCATTTACCTCAGAAGGGAAACTGGGCTTTCTGGTTAATTTGCGCCCTATGACAGGCACCAGAGATCCAGAGGGAGGGGTGGGAGGCAGTACTGAAGAGGGCAAAGGGAAGTGCATGGTAACACCTTGGTGTATCTGTGTGGTGGTAATTCTCTGTTGATTATGCCTGAATACTTAATTCCAAAATAGATTCCAGATTAATTTTCTTCAGTAACAATTGGTACTGATGATGTTATGCTTGCAGATGACCAGCTCTATAGTGATACTCCAGACAAATGTTCCTGAATCCACATGTCCAATATATCAGTTGCATTGCAAGAATTAGTTTCTGATGGGGCTGCCAGTCCAGAATTCCTTTGTGGTTATTTCAGGACATAAATGTTAACAGGGGAAAGTTGTCTTAATATAGAAAGGGAATCAGAACTTCCCAGTCAGTTCATGGACACAAAGTAATGCACCAGCTTCACAACCATGATACTCACTGGTAGGTCATAGAATGAAATGCTCTTCACTTCAATGACTGATAAAAACTCTGCTAATAAGTTTGAAGACCTATACACAGGGAGATACGAGTGAGTTAGGGAGACTGGGTAGAGTTAGGCAGAGAATAGAAATTCTGCATTTTTTGAAAGATTTCAAAATCTGTGTAATTTGGATTTGGAACACAAGCTCAACAGTTTGAATTTCCGAAAGAATTATCTTAGTTCAATTAAAATGTCTCATTTTAACAAAACTGAAATATTTCCTATTAAGTTCCAATTTAAAAAAAAATATAATTTCAATAAAAAATAAATAGGGAAAAGTTGTTTTTTTCATTCAAAATGAAGTGTTTTATTTCTGAAAATTCAGATATAAAATATTTTGGCATTTTCAGAACTTTTCTCACTTTTTTCTAAACACTGTTACCAAAATTGCTACAGTTTTATGATGTATTAGATTTTGATGAAAAAAGCATTAAAGTTCCACAGAAAAGTGTTACATCGTACTTTTTCTTACTAGTATCTCTGTGGTTGTGTTTGCATAGATTTTTGTCTTTTTTATATTTTTGGGTCCAGGTATGCGTGGTGTGCAGCACACTGTAATAATTCAGTTCTTTCAAAAAGGGATGGGACATAAGAATGAACTCTGAAAGAGAAAACTATCTCGTCTGCAGTTTCAGTGCAGAAGGAAGAAATTTTAGGAAGTTGATGCCTAGTTTTTGTCTTTTTCCTTTTGCCATTGCAATCATTTTTCTTCTGTTTATTGTGGCACTGATGGGAATATGGATACTTTCTGTGTATTTCTTCATCTGTGCAGCAGTTGTTAAACAGCATTTTACAGATGTTATCAAGCTGTTCAGTTGTGGTTTGGGAGTAGACCTGAACACCAAGGAGAGAGAATGGTTTCAGTGAGAGAACAAAAAACAAAATTGGCAGTCAGCTCATACCTGTTTGATTTTGAATGTGATCCTCTTTGCTTTTTTGGCATAAATTTAGTGTTCCAGGGAAGTGACATGGAGCACTGTCTAGAACCAGTGCAAGAAGATAATGGTAAGCATCACCTCCCTCTGCCAGTGTCCTCATCTTAACTTCAGACATCCCCTAATGTTAAAACGTACCTTTCCCCATTCCAGCTGGTCCAGTGATCCATATCCCTTCATCCATGACCTCTAGGTATCATATGTTCATAGAGTAGTAGGGTAGGAAGGGACCTCTAGAGGTCATCTAGTCCAACCAACCCTCTACATGAGGCAGGATCATCCCTATCCAAACCATCCCAAACAAACCATAATCTAAACTTGTAAGATTAGTCTCAACCCTCACACAACACAGACTTGACATCCTAAGCTGCCACAGGTAAACAGGGGAAGCCCGACAGTCAATGTCCTGCTTCTGTGAAATGTTGTCAATATAAGCTCAAGAGATCCTGGGAAGAGGGCCACGTTCTCTGCTACAGAGGAAGGCAAAAACCCCCACAGTCAATACCAATCTGACCATGGGGTAAAATTCCTTCCTGCCTCCAAATATAGTGATTGGTCTGACCCTGAGTGGAGAGACAAGACCCTTGAACCAGGAACCTCCACTTTGGTCCCCAGTTTAGGATGCTAACATGCTTGATTTTGTTTTTCTCACAGATCATTCCAGCATTTAGTTCTGGGTGGATATGCCCCATGCTTTGTATGTGGTTGGCAAACTTATTTCAATCTAGGTCAAATGGATCTTTCTGGAGTTGCACTGTTCGTCAGAGCTTTAATTTGTTCCTCCCTCCCCTTGATATCTTTCAACAAATATTCTAGTTGAGTGCATGAGCCTTCAAGCAGCTTTGTTGCTCACAGGAGTAGAGAGCAGGCAAGTGACAGGTTCCACTTATCTTGTCACTGCCTGGAAGGGACAGCAGCCAGAGCTGATTGAGAAGTTATAAATAAGAAATATTTTTATTTCCTCCCTCTTCCATTTGCCCTCTCTTGCAGCTCCCTTTCCTGCTTCCCACTATACCAGAGAAATAGATGAGAGAAGGGAGGTGTGGAAATGTCATTTCACTCCCACAAATAGAATCAGCAGTGGAGACCCATTAGCTAGTGTGCAGTGTATCATGTACCTTGTGTCCAGTAGCATGGATGGGCAGAGGATGCTTTTTCTGTGGTGAACTTAGTTTGTGGAGAATTGCAGGGGCAGATTAAACATCTGGAAACTGTGCCATCCAGGACTGTTTCGTGTTCTTCCAAGAGATTAAGTGGTGGGATTGCATAGGGCTAAAGAAAGAGGATTGCATAGAGCTAATAGGCCAAGCATTGGCAACATACAGCCTGCAGGCTGGATCCAGTCTAGATGGCTATTAGATCTGTCCTGCAGAGCTGAAGGTCTTTTCCTCTGTCCATGCCTGCACTAGGGCTGAACAATGAGGAGCTTCGCTGAGGCAGTGAGATGTACCAGTGCCACTGTAATCACTTCTTTCTAGCCCAGCCTCTTCTCCTTCCCTTTTTCCTTCCCCTTCTCAAGGCTGTGGTGCAAGCACATCTTCTAGCGGGGACTGGGATAGGTAGGAAGGACAAGGAGAAGCAGAAGCAGCTTCCAGCAGTGTGGAAGCAGCTTCCAGCTGCTCAGCCCTGATGCAGTTACCGTCCAGTTGGAAACAGACCCGGACACAGGCATGGGTGAACCAGATGGCCACCCAGGACCTGGACAGAAAAAAATTACAATTGCAAAAAAAGTTTGGATATTGTGCGTATACAGGACTGACAATGTTATCAATTGAGAATGAACTATTTAAAGACATTGATACCACAGATGTGATAAAGACTTTTGCAATAAAAAATCATTATCTCTAGTGAAGGGGGGCCTCGACGATAAAAGTTTGCCCAGGGCCTCCAGGAGTCTAGGTACAGCACTGCTTGGAAATTGGAAGTTGCTTCCATGCTGGTCCTGCTTCTCTGCCTCCCTGCCCAGCCCAGCCTGGTCTTAGCACATGCTAAGCTGTGCTGTAGTTAGTAGTTACAAAGTGTGGCTGAGCAGTATGTAACTCTGTGTATCAAAATGTAGTTTGGAAATGTTGGGAGAGTATTTATCTTGGAACAGCATTTTCTCCTTTGCTGTTTGCTCTTTACAATGGGATACTTCTGAAAAGTTAGGGGTATGTTATAATATTATACTACATAGGGGACCATTATATCCTTGCAATCCATGACTAATTGTCAGCATGCAGTCAGGCATTCTAGTAATCACTCTAGCTAGTGCAGCATAAGTGGCGTTCCCCAACATCAGACACAGAACAGACTGCTTCCAGTGTGTCAAATTCCTGCTAAGTCTTGCTCATTATGATATCTGTTTCCTTAACATTTTGCATTGAATCAGGCTGTTTATGTTTTGAATACCAGCATACAGAGCTGAGAGCAGTTATCCAGGCTGTAATTCAATCTTGAGTTTTGATAACGCATATACTCCAGCTGTGTTTGTTATGTTTTCAAAAGCCCCTCAATTGAATTATAGCTCAGTAATGGCTGTTTGCCAATGTCACTCTATAACGAGAGAGGTCACTTAATAGAGATTACAACAGGAGATACATATTAACAAGAGCTGGTTGAAAAAGTGGACTAAATTTTCACACACAGTCCTTTTTAATCAGATTTTGAAATTTGATTTTTTTTAAAATCCCTGCCCCTCCCCAATATTAAGGCCATGTACAATTAAACAAAAAAAAGCAGTGAGGAGACTAGAAACCCAGAGAGGGCTGTATGTGTGTGTATATACTCAATTTACTGCATATAATTTCATAAGGCAAGTAATTGATTCAATATGGCAGTCGGGTACCCTCCAAGATAGAGCCAAGGGAGAGAGAGGAATTTTTAGATCAGGACTGCTTTTCCCTGTCAGTGGAGTTTAGAGAGAGAGTTCCTAGGGCAAAGGTGATTCAGATGCACGGTACGGCTCTCCATCCTTCCCTTTGTCAAGACCCAAAGGACCAAGGAAAAATTGTGGTGAAGAGTAAATTGAATCTGAAAAGGTTCAGACAGGAGCTGGGATGCATTCTTACTTCTCATTGTTCAGCCAAGATGATAATTTTTTGCATCATTGTCCTTATTTAAGAAGTACATTGTAATATTTTTTTCGCTCGCACCCTCACTTCTTCCTTCTCACATGTACACATACATTCCTCTTTTATTTATTTGTTCTCTTCCTTGTTTCCCTCTGTCACGTTCTCCCTCCACCCCTGTTCCATAATTTGACTTTAAAAAATTTCAGTCCTGTGCGACTTGGCAGAAAGGTCTCTTGTGGTTGTGTAGAAGAAGAATACCAGTCGACACAAGAACACTTCAATTCAGTTATCACTTGCATATCATACTGAGCTGTCCAGGAACTTGGCCTGCAGGCAGAGGGCATCGATTCTTCCTTCCTGCCTTCTGACCTGAGATGAGAGGCACTCCACAGTGAAGCCCTCCAGAGAAGCACTAGGAAGCTGGAAGAGTCTTGAATAGTGTACAGTGCCTTTTTAATCGGCTCTGTTGCATGACAATATGAGAAGCAAAGGGAAGGAGGAAAGAGGGCAGTAGGGGGAAGGGGAAGGGAAGTAAATCCTTTTTTTATTTAGAAGTAAAATATTCACTATATGTAAAATCTATATTCTTTTATCTGTTAGAGGAACCCTGCTGAGCATCTCACAACTGGAGTGATCAGCTCTCTACCTACTGGGATTTCTTTGGAGAGGAAGAGGAAACTGTCTGGTGAAAGGCATTGGTTGGTTAGGGAGCTGGCTCTAGAAAGAACAGGGCAAGAGCTGCTTTGAAAACTGCTAGTTGTTCTAACCCTGGTGCCCGTCAATATGCACTGATCATTGTGCTTCTATTACCTTCTCTCATTTCATTGACCTTCAGACAGCTGTTCAGCCAGATTGCCTGCTGTTTTTGCACATTATTTGTCTTGGTACGACATGTGTGCATTCGCATTCTAATCATTTTTACCAGCTTCCCTTCATCCACTCTTGGGTGACTTTGGCCTGGGAGGTCATATAGAGGACCTCTGTGTGTATGTGTGTGTGCATGTGCGCAAAACTAGGTTTTCTCAAAGACTGTCACAGTTACCGAAAAGGGTCTCTTTGGAAGTCATTTCTATTCTTTGTTGGCTACAAGAGTGGTGTCTGTACCAGCAGGCCCTGGCAGTTTGTTGTCAGAGCGGCACAAAAGTGGTAGCTCCTTTATGGGCTGGTGGGTAGCACCACCAGTTTGCTCATCCTTTAGATTGGTTAAAACACCTATGGTGACTCTAGCCCAGGAACATGCCTTCACTTCTAACCATTTAGGCTGCTGTCCGGTGATATTTTCATTAACTGTTCAACTGAGTACAAAAAAATGGTTCTCACTCTTGTTCGTCAGAGTGCAGAGGAGTTGTTAGTGTTGGCAGTGAACCCCCAACCAGAGCTTCAGAGCTGTCCATCTGGGTGACAGAAGAAGGGAATGACACATCTGAGTAGGAGACCAACCTACAGCAAGACCTTCCTCCATTGACAGTAAACCTGTCACTAAGTATATTCTGTCTTCCAGCATCTCCTAGAGTATGCATCCCATGCTGTTTAGGACCTAGGCATGATGCAGTTTAGTTTGTTCACTGTAGGGGTGGTCTTGACCTCATTTGGAGTAGGGTTAGTGTTTAGAATTAAGTTTCGGTGGACCTGCCAGGTCCACCCTTAATGTCTTCAGTCAAAAAGACATTGCTGGATATTCAGCATTATGACAGACCCATGACACTTTTAAACACAATTCTTCACAATGAGCCATTTTGTTGACAAAATGTCCAGGGTTGGCATGAGACAATAGAGGGTGCTGTGCCTCAGCATGGTGGTGCTATGGTAGAGCTTCATGAGAGAGGATTAGAACAGGATGGGGGTGGAGAGGGCAAAGGGAGCTTTAAGTTCTGGAGTGCTACCAGCCCTATGGGGGGCAAGTTGGAAGAATAGTTGCCAGCACAGTATACACACTCCAGACTTGTATTGCCTTTCTTTCATCTTATCAGGAACCTTTATGGTTGCTTAGATAATTTAATTTGGGTGGTGATCCATGTAAGCAGTCTCCATAAGGGAATTTTTAAATTCTTAAGCTTTCTCTGTGTACCCAGCATAAAGCATCCAACATGGATTTCTAGTGTCTGACCAAAACTTGTACAAATTAGTAGTGTAACTAGGGATGGGCCAGCAGGGTACCAGGTCTGGATGCCAAATTCTGGTATGAAGAGGGGCACCAAAATTGCCCCCACCTTTGTGGAGTCTGTGTCTTAGCAGCAAAAAACACCCCCATAGTGTTTTTGTTACAGCAGCATCTAAGTGCCCAGACACCACGCTGCTACTGTAAGTGCAACAGCTGGGGCAGGGTAACCACATGGTGGTGGTGGCAGCTGTCAAGAACTGTTTTTGAGTCCCCAGTGAGGGTAAGACTTCTACGTACCCCTTTCCCCCTCGCTGGTCCCAGAACCCGCACCCTCCAATGCTCTCCAAGCCTGTGCCTCCCACTCCTGCTCTCCCACAAGATTTGCCTGGGGTACCGACCCTACAAATTTGCCTGGGGTATCATCATTACAAATCAGTTTTCTAAAAATATATACATATCTGTATCATTTAAGGAAAAGGGTAGCTGAGAAATCTCTCCCCTTTCCTCACCTTCCTTTCCATTACATAACAATGCTCTTATAAAAGAGCCAGCAAGCACCAGGTATTTTCTTTCTCTCTCTCTCCCCTTCACACAGACGGGCACTTGGCATTAGGCCAGTCGGACGAGACCGATAGATCAAGTCACGTTCAAGGTGTTTGTGACTTGTGGCCCGTGAAATGGTTTTGATATGGTAGAAAGCTCTTAAAGGTGCAGTGTGAATCTATTCCTTTAACAGGTTTATCCATTTAGCAGGGCTTTCATTATGGCTGTCTGTTTATCTTTAGGTATTATATAGTGCTGGAGCTTTGGTACAGAAAATGTTTTGGACCTGCTACAAATGTTTTGGACCTGCTACAAATGATGCTGGATTTATTTTGTGGAAGAACCTGTTGATTTAACCCTGTGCCTTTCTGTTTCCAGAGGTCATAATATGTAAAATATTCGTAACCAGAAAAAAGGTTTGTGAAGGGAAGTTGTAACTCTATTCAGTGTTTATTTCAGGTTCAGTGGAGAATTGAAGAGTTCAGTATCAGCTCTGATTTGCACCCCAAGTACCATCTGAGCACTTCCAAAGCTTTTAAAATATTTACCTTTTTATGTCATGATCCACCTTGGGGGATCTTGTGACCCTTCTAACTTGGGAGGCGTGTAAGGCTCTGACTTGCATACAGGTCTTCTGAAGGTGTACTTTTCTCTGTGGTGGGTGCTGGGCCTTCACTTTAGAGACATCAGGTTTTGCTTTACCACTTTGCTTCCAAAACATGTTGCTCACTTAACTTGTCAGGTCTTTCTGCTTTAGTTGAAAGTTTGCCATAGCCTGCATTGTCCAGCACTGAATTAGCATCACCTCCAGCTCCAGTCAGGCTTGTATATTCCCCTTCCTGCCATTGGGTTCATCGGGAGATGGGCTATGGTCAGACAGGTAAATTGCCCATCTCAGTCCAAAACATCTCCCTGGCCTGCAATTGTTAGACTTAGTGATCTACTCATTGGTTTCCATGACACTTCCAATTAACTTAATTCATGTATTGACAGTTTTTGAAACCCCATCATGCCAGTCTGGATGTGTTATTTCCTGACACCTGGAAATAACCCCTTTCTGTTCAATAGGTAACAATAGAAAAAGTGGTGAGAGTGATAAGCTGCGTCGCACACAGTTTTCATAAAGATGAT